CTCTCTCTCTCTCTCTCTCTCTCTCTCTCTCTCTCTCTCTCTCTCTCTCTCTCTCTCTCCCTCCCCCCTCGCCCCTCCCCCCTCCCCCGGCGTCAAGGCCGGGTCAAAGGACACTGCCTCTCTCTCTCTCTATCTCGCGCGCGCGCGCGCCCCCTCCCAGCATCAAGGCCGGCGACCTGCATTGGGAGTCATCACCTTCGCTGGTCAGTATTTGTGGTGTGGCATCATCATCAGAAGCGCGAGAGAGAGGAGAGTTCTTCTCCTTCTCCTGATTCTTCTCCGCTCCTCCATAGCCACTATTCTTCAACTTCTTCTCCTCCTCCCTTTTTTTTTTTCTTCTTCAGGGGGGGGGGAGAGAGATTTCAGGTTGTGACTATTTTGGGCCTATGTGCGCCCAGGATCTCATTCGACATTTTTGAGGACAGACATTGGTTGGACGTTTGACGGGAATACTTTTTCTTGGATGACTACGAGTTCTACTCTTGTCTTCTCTCCCGTCTCCATCTTCGTCTCTCCTCTGCCATTCATCATCCATGGTTCCTTCCCCATGTGTGTGCACAACGATGGACGCTTCTTCCGTGCATGATTTCCCTCCTTGCTGTGTGACATGTGTGCTGATGATTGTGTGAGTCGAGTCTGGATCTGATGTGTCAGGTCATATCTTTGAGCGTCCGCTGCGCAACATTGCATTATATCATTTTGTTTCGAGTCCTGTTCATCACACTGGCGCTACTTGGACATGTGCACCGCTCATCTTCAGATGAGCATGCATCGCTCTCTCTCCAGCGTCAAGGCCGCGGTTCAAATGACTCTCTCTCTCTCTATATATATATATATACACACACAGACACACACACATTCTCTCTCTCTCTCTCTCTCTCACACACACACACACACACACACATATGATTGACCGAAGGCAGGGCAACAATCTCTGTTCCTCTCTGAATGGAAAATGTGGACGATGACAGTTGTATGTCCCATGGGAAACAACCTTAAAGGACAGGGAAGCGATGTGTACTGCAGGTGTTCTTTTTGACCAAGAAAAAACAAAACTTGAAAACTGAAAATATATGAAAAAAACAAGAGCGCATGGTTCACGGAGAAAGCAAACCCACCACAATGCCCTCCCAACCTGCATGGCCCCTGCCCGCTAAAAAAAAAGTCCGTGACGTATGCGAATGAGCTTCAATGAACCCCATCTCTTTTCTATTTTATTTTTCTAAATGAACCCCTTCTTTTTCCTTTTTCTTTTTCCCCCAATGCAGCCCCTGTTGTGTGATGAAAGGGGTTAGGTCTGCACCCCCAGCATGTGGGATGCCTGCTACCGCAGGTGGGCAATACCAACCAGGGGTCAGCTGGTAGCATCAGCAACCATGCCATCATCTGGACTTGACTCTCGTGCAGTCCCTGTTGTTAGAGAGAGAGAGAGAGAGAGAGAGAGAGAGAGAGAGAGAGAGAGAGAGAGAGAGAGAGCATGACTCTCTTTCTCCCCCAATGCAGCCCCTGTTGTTAGAGAGAGAGAGAGAGAGAGANAGAGAGAGAGAGAGAGAGAGAGAGAGAGAGAGAGAGAGAGAGAGAGAGAGAGAGAGAGAGAGAGAGAGAGAGCATGTGGGATGCCTGCTACAGCAGGTGGGCGATAACAACCAGGGGTCACCTGGCAGCGTCAGCAACCATGCCATCATCTGGACCAATCTCTGCACCCCTCCTCCGCTCCCCATCCTCTACGAACATTGGCAGTCTCCGCTTAATGCCGATTGGGGGGGCCAACGGGCTACCGCACGATAGTACACAAAGTATGGCCAGGAAGGTACACAGGTCCAATGGGTTTTGAACCCATGACCTCCTGAATGACACTTGTGTTCGCTACCAACAGCACACGGCCACTGAGCCCACGCGTGTTCCCTCGTTCGAGGATGTGGCTGCTGCAGCATTCCCTCTTATTATTATACTCTAAAATTCTAAATGATAATAAAAAAAGACCTGAAAGGCCGTCCTGTCCAGATTCGACAGGTAATTGAATTGGTTGGGCTGAAAAGAATTAGCCTTGAAATTTCAAATTTGAAAAATAAATAAATTAAAGGGACAAAAAAAAAGGGGTTAGGTCCTCACTCCGGGTCACAACACACCTGAATATCGACCGGATGTCACTTTCCAACAGTAGAGGAGATAGCACCCGGTGTAGAACTCCCACCTCCTTCACAGACACAAAGCAGACATCGGATGTCAAGTAAGACAAAGGTTCTGCTTTTTTTTTTCCTATTTCTTTTTCTCTCTTTCTTTCTTTCTTTCTTTCTTCGCTCGAAGACAAAGGTTTTCTACAAAGAGGACGTTTTCAACAAAAAAAAAGACAAAAAAGAACGATCTTCACATGAACAACCACACGGAAAAAAAGGTTCTTTATTATGATTTATATCAAAATGACCAGAAAGGAGGGCCCCACTTTGCTTCATGGAGGAGGAGACGGGGAAGAGGGGGGGGAGGGGGGTTCGGCGGAGAAGGACGACATAAAAGCTAAAGAGGATTGAAGCAAAGGAGGGGCTCACTCCACATACATAATTATTGACTTGTAATCTAGTCTACCAGAATGGCCCGGGACCACTTGCCTGGCCGGGCCAAAAATAAATTAAAAAAAAATCAAAAATAAAAATCAGGTAACGAATTTCGATGTGACCCTGAGGCAAAAGTTGTTCAGTGTATTTTTCTACATAACATACTTTTTTTTACTTCTTTTTTTCTTTTTCTTTTCAAGCTGAACCTTCCCTGGTCCTTGCATGGCCGCACCACCTGGGAAAACTGGGTGACCCGGGCGGCCCGGCTGGCAGCCCAGCTTGTAATGTCATATCAATAACGAGCGGGAGAAGATGCTTTACTTTCTTCCTTTTTTGTTCCTTTTTCAAAAAGGAGGAGATTAAAGAATCCTTTTATTATCAGGCGGGGGATATTTCACTTTTACCAGGGAAGGAAGTACACTGTGCATGAGACATTGGGGGGAAAGGGAAAAAAAAAAGATTTAAAAATCAAAATTGAATTTTATTATTTTTGTAAATGAACAAACAAGATGCCCAGGGGCTAGGTCCCACCAGCCAAGTTCTACTACTTGCCGTCGCCGTTTACGATCATGTGTGGCGAGGAGGGATGGCATCTGGCCGTTGACCCTCCCGGAAGTAGACGACACACACCATTTCCGATCCGGTATTTCTGCACAGTACATGTCGGCCAATCACAGTTGTCGAGAAAAACTAAACCGCTGAGAACGTTCATGGTCTCCACAGGCGGGAAGCCCCATTTTTATGGTTTTGAAAGGGGCGGGGGGGGGGGGGGGGGGGGGGGGGGGGGGGAGATTTTGCTACTTCATTTTTTCAAAAACGTCCTGTAAATGAAGGACGGACTAATGGAAAACGAAAACTTAGTCGTCGTTCTGACAGGTATACTTGCGCCCTCCACGGACGCTCTTTCCACTGTGTAGCGGTAGTTGGCTGAGATGAATGAATCATACATGTGGCATGTCGACATACGCTCCAGCGCACACATGCGCCGTGCCGCACAGCGCGCATGGCATGTGGCGCATGCCAAAATGGAAGGGTCCACAAAAAAAAAAAAAAAAAAAAAAA